AGCTGCCAGCACCGACCGTGCAGGCAGTAGCGGCGACGCGCGTCTCGACATGAGCTCATCCTCAATATCTGCACCTTCGCTGTCTCCATCCCCGTCCTCCCGACGCCGACGCCTCGCACCAAAGTCCAGCGCGCCTCCGCTCGTCCGCCCCAGGAGAAGGCTCCCCAGCCCGTGCCCATAAGCATTTCCGGCACCGAGCCCCTCACCGCCTGCGGCGCGCACCATTGATGGGGTGATAATGCTCCCCGAGCGCTTGCGCGCTTGAGGGAGCTGCAGCTGCGCGTGCGAGGCACGGCGCGTCAGAGCGGGGATGCGCGATGGAACGGGCGACGGTGGACTGGGCTGCGGGTGTGCGTAATGGTGCTGTGTCTGCTTCAAGACGGGCGACGAGGGGACGTGACGAAGCGTATTGAGCGAATGAGGCTGCGGTGTCGGCGTCGGCGCTTGGCTTTGTGTTTGACTTGGTAATTGCACGGTCTGCGATAGGTGGGCGTACGACGAACGGCGGCTGAGCGGATTGCGGGGGGACATGGGGGAAGGCGGAGGCGCCTGTCGCGGGACGGGCGACGGGGCTAATGGTTGCTGCTGCTGGGACTGCGTCCGAAGAGGCGCCAGCGAGGTACGGCGCGCCATTGGTGAAGTTGGTTGTGCGGGCTGCGGGCGCGGAGACGTAACTGGACGGTACGATGACGGATTCGGAGAAGGAGACAAGGGGGTGGGGCGACGGACAGCGGCGACGGCTTCTTCTTCCTTATGGGAGGACCCGTAAGCACCGGAGCCTGTTTCAAGGGCAAAGGCGGCGGGACCCGTGATCCCGATCCACCAAGTCCAAATGGCCTTCGCCCGCCAACACCACCGCCAAAGCGCGCGCGCGCCTCCGCAACGGACGGCAAGTCGACGCGCGAGCCGAACGTCGGTGTCCCACAACGGCTACTCGCGCGCTCGACCATCTCCATCTCACCCGTCTCCACGTTCCCAGCCCCGGCCACTCGAGCCCCCCCTACGTCGAAGAACGCGGAGCCGCTGCCGGCGCGCGCGCGGCGCTGCGGGGGGACGGGCACGGCGACGGGCACCGCTATAATGTGTCCGAAGAGCGAGCCGGGCGCCTTGGTGACGCGCACGACCTTCCACCCAGCGGACAGCGCAAGCGCGACAATCTCGCGTAGGGTCCGCTCTTGCCCGTTGAACGTCACTTGCATCTACGGAACAACGCCAGTCAGCGTCGGCCATCACTTTATTGTTGAAGAATAAAAACGGAGAGTAAAGCGTACCGTAAGGTCCATCCAATACGCGTTTGCGCTTGCTTTGCCAAGGTTCGCGAGCAACGGCGCGGGAGCAAGCATCTTCTCCGCGCCCGCCACCTGCGGCTCCCGCTCCCTCTCTTTATCCTCCAAGCCGTCCCTCTTGACCCCCGAATCTCCTGCGCCTGTCTCACCCTCCCCAACACCGAAATCATCAACGCACGCAAGTGGGAGCACAAAGTCCGCGAGGACGAGCTTAGTGTGTGGCACAGCGGCTTCGCGCAGACGCAGCAGGATGCGCTGAGCGAAGGCGTCGGGCCAGTCGTGAAGCACGACGCGGAGGATGAAGACGGCGGCGTCGGTGACCGGCTGCGGGGTGAAGAAGTCGTGTACTGCGCGGAAAGAGAACGTTAGTGTACGCAGAGGTACAAGCGTATCCAGAGAAAAAACACTCACCCTGAAAGCGCACTATGCCCGAGTCCAGCAGTTCAGGACACTTGGCACGCCATGCCTGCAATCCATTCATATCAGCCCATCTTCTTCTACCAGTACCGAGGAACCAAGCCTGAGACACACCTTCTCGCCCATCTCGACCACCACCGGTCGGTCCTGGATCACAAATCGAAGACCACCGCCACCTGTTTGAAGGATCGACGACGTTAGTGTGTGTTTCTCACTCGATTACCGAGATGAAGAGCGGGAAACGAGAAAAAGAGAGACGCACCACCCGCGTCCACGTCCGCATATGCACTTGCCAGGAGCATACTCGTCGAGCCGATTCCGCCGCCAACGTCAACGACCACACTGCCGCGAGGGAGCGATGCCCAGTCGAAGCCTATGCCACAGTCGTCAGCATTCGAAAAAATGAAGGAACCCAGAGGAACAGATTCAAAAAAAAACGAGCCCGCCAAGAAGGCGCAAAGCACACAAGAATTTGGGAGGCAAAGATGGCGAGAAATAGGAGAGAACATAGAAGGTTCACGCACCATGCAACACTGCCCCCGGCGCCTCCCAGCTCCCCGTTCCCGCCATCGCTTTTCCAAACCGCTCCAAGCGGAACCGATTCGGATTCGCCGGCGTCATTCCTGCTTCGCCTCCTCCATCATGGCTCTTGCTCTTCCCTCGATCGCCATCGGCGGGTTTCCCCTCTCCCGCGCCAGTCCATCCCTCCCCCTCCAACCACGCGAAATACCCGACGCCGCCGCACCCGAACGCGTAGTTGAACGGCGCACGCGTGGGGTCACTGCCCGAGGTCGTTGTTGTGGCGCTCGCGGTGCTAGTACTCTTGCTGACCGAGCCGGTAACGTTGCTGCTTGTACTCAGGTCGCCTGTGCTCAAGCCAGCGGGTACGGACGGCGGTGTGGCAGAGGATGGGTAGAGTCGTGCGTTGCCGGGGAAGACGGCCTCAGTGAGGTATGCGCTGGACTTGAAGAGCTCGTCCGTGCTGAGAAGGAAAATATTGATGAGTTGAATGTTAGATGGTAAGGAAAATGCGAAAATGGAAAGCGGATGCGCGTTGAGCGAGTCAAATCACCGGCGCACGAGAAAGGAAGACGGGGAGATATATGCGAGATCCGTTTGGTATCTCGAGCTCCCCGCGACTGTCGTGTCGCGTGCAGTTGGGCGAGCGCGGATAAAAAAATATAAGAAAATCTGTCGAGTAGCATGATCAAGCAAATGCTGATCGAGGTGGTCCATCCGAACGACCAGGTTCTCCACGGAAAAAAGTACGGCAACCGATAGCAAAAAAAATGGAGAAAAAGAAAAGAGCGGGAAACCAAACGCACCACAGTCCGATAAACGCCGCGACCGCGCTCGCGTCTGAATCACCCACTGATTCGTACTTGCGCTCAGGGCTATAAACGATGAACCAATTCAGTACTGCGACATGCACAACGAGAGAGAATGGGAGAGGATAAAAAATGTAGAAAGCAAAAAGACGTGAAAATGGAGAAGGAAAAAAAAAATTGAAAAAAAAGAAGAGCGAAGAGCGGCAAAACAAAAACGAAAGCAGGCAGGAAATAACCATAGAACGGCCGGAATGACAGGATCAATGTCCAGTGAAATTCAAGTACACCAAACCCGGCGTTTCCCTTTCCATTCAAAAGCACTGGAAAGTCGAAAGAAAGAGAGTTTCCGTATCCGCGAGTCCGAGCGATTGGTACGGAGCCGAAAGAAGGCGTAGAAGAATGTGAAAAGAAATGAACCCTCTCGACAAGGCAGGAAGAGAAGGATGAGCGTAATAGAAGGGTGTCAAGGAAGAGCGACGCGTGCCACACAAAAATGACGCGTGACGCGCCGCGGGCGCGAGCATTGAAAGAGAAAGTGACGGGAAAGTGTGGGCGAGAGGTGAATGCCAGACGGGATTGGGCAAATGAAGAGAGGGAAGAAAAGTAACAAGGCGGAAAGAACGCACTTTGCAATAAGATCGCGCAAAGGCTTTCCAGAATCCATGAGCGAGCTGATGCGGTTAGCAGCAAAGACGTCGGGCGCGGCCTCGCGCAAGATGTGGTGCGTCGCGAGCAGACGGAGGATGTGGGCTGCATCCAAGATTTCTTATCAGCGAAAGAAGAAGACATCGAGATCGAAAACCCACCAAGTTTCGCTTGCTCGATACCTGTCCGTGCAGCAATTTCCCTGACGTGCACAGGCCCGTCGCGCAGAACCTCAGGGACGTGTGCAGCCTCGAGGACGCGCAAGCAGCTCGGGAGGTGGTAGCCCATGCTTGCGTCGCAAAGGGTCAAGAAGGGAACCTGCACCGTCGCGGCCATCTGCCCGGCCGCTGCAACTATGCGATTTATTGCTGCGACCACTGTCGGATGCGCAGTGAGCTGCTCTGCGGCCGCGCTGGGGTCGTACGGGGCATCCAGAGACGGAAAATCGAGGCCAAAATTGGTAGGAGGAGCAGCGGAAGACGAGGGCGACGGTGGTGGGCTTGCATAGACGCGAGAAAAGGAATTGGTCTTCCTGTGTGTCGGGGAAGGGTCTTGGGGCTGGGCACTGGCGTAGACAGCCTCGATATCGTGGAGAGCGTCGCCTAGGATAGTATGCAGGGCGCGGAGGACGGCAAAGGTCATGGTATCGCGCAGAGAGAGAGCCAGAACCAGTAAATATTATGATAAATAAATAATTTGCCTGTCGGAAGAATTGATCGACAGGACGCGTCTTCTTGCTCCCTTCACCGCGCTCTCGTGTCACCTTCTTGCCTCTTCCAATTTCTTTGCCCGAGACTCCCCGCGGCCGCGAATAACGATAGGCTGAGACATGAGGAGAGGAAGACGGGGAACATATTTGCGTATGTTGTACAGAACCTTTACTGACACCGCCGCCACACTATTGGCGCTCTCGAACTTCACTTTGGCTCACCAGAAAAATCTACGCGTCCGCAAGGCCCGATTCCGACGCTGGCGGTTGTTTTTCAAAAGTCTACGTCAGTTTCTCTTTACGAGTACTATCGTTTGTCGACGCGCTCTGGAGTCGCTGCTGGCCTGCTGCAGCTGGAATCTGGATAGTAAACTATTTGGATACTTCTAGGCTGCCGCAGCGCTTCATTCATTACTCGTGTATGAATCGACCACGCTACCCGCGGTCGTTGTCCACCGAAATCAGCGAATCAAACCGTCTACCACCAAGCCGTTCCTTCCTCCAAATTTATCCTCGATCTACTCTGCACTTCACTCGGACTCGGCCAATTCAAGACCCTCGGAGAGCATTATCGGCGCAGCATCAGTCCAAAAAACTATTGCCAAGCAGGCAGCATGGCCCAGGCCCAATTCGAACAGGCGTCTTCTACTTGAAAACCAAGTTGTCAAATCCCTAACGGAAAGAGATGTGGACCATCCACCACTAGGCCTTTCCTACCTTGATTTCAAGCTGAAGATACCTGTTCTTCATTTCAGAGGTCTCCGTACTTTCCCGACGGATAGCTTGGAGACAAACACTTCTGCTCCAAGATCCGTCAAAAAGTCCCAATAGACAAAACAGACATGTGGACCACTGCATCCACCACCGAGCCTTTTCCGCCTTGAAGTCAATCTAAATACCCTGTCTGGTTTGTCCGATATTCGACGTACTAAACACGGTCTATGTTCTCCTTTCCCCATTCTCTTTGCTGGCTCACGGTTTCTTATGGCCTACACGAGAAAACTCCAAGTCCGACGAGTAATTAATCAGCCTCGCCCAGAAATTGACATGCAACTTGAGGTTATCCCAGTGCGACATCTGTCTCGACTCTCATGTGAACTTCATGTTTCTGTTCGGTGCTGCACAGGTCTCTTGACCAAGTAGACCCAACGATTCGCTTCCCCTTCCCAACGACCAACAACAACCAACGACCACCAAGACACCTCCAAATCCATAAAAACCCCAATAGATATAATAATACAGAATACATTTGTTTCCGTTCAGTTTCGTTTCGTTATTCGTTCGTTCGCGATGGTTCGCGTGCCCCACCACCAGTCTTGTCCGTATCCTCCATATCCCCATTCCTTCTGTCCATATCCTCCTCTCCTCGTTTCTCCACCGCAACACCAATGCAATATCCGCAACCAAAAAAAAGAGAAGAAAAAGAAGTAAGTGAAGAAGAAAAAAAGGAGGGAGGGAGGGAGGGGAAACCACTACACTAAGTATGTATGTATAGTAAACAAAAACAAAAAGAGAATGAGAAGAGACAGGTCTTCGAAGTGCGGGGATGAATATATAGGGGACGCGATGGAGGGTGGTGGTTGTGATGGATTCGAGGCGCGTGAGGCGGAGGCCGCACACGATGATGATGAATGAGATAGCGCTCGACGAGCATTGGCGGGTGGGTCGTTCGTTGTCGTTGGCGAGAGAAGTGTGTCGCTGGCGGCACGATAAATACATAGGAAGGAGACGATGGTGGATTTGGATGTCGAGTCGATGGATGGTGGGTTGGATGGCCGAGACATCGAAAGCGAGGAGAAAAGGAAAGATGGATAGAAAGCTGGAGCGGGAGATAGAAGAGGCGTCGGTTGCTCGTGAATGGGTGTTCGTGTGTCCGTTCGGGAGATAGCGCATGAATGGAGGACGAATGGAGCGCGGCGCACTCAATCCATATCCATATCAATATCATCCATCTCCTCCATCCCACCCCACCTCAAACTCTCGCTTTCGCCCCTCCTCCCGTTCCCATACCGCCCCGCCTTATCCTTCTCATCATACTCCCCCTCATCGTCCTCCTCCCGAACCCCGCCCAAATCAAGCTCAAACCCAAACTCCTCCTCCCGCTTCCACATCCTCCGCCCGCGCTGATGCTCCCCCTCCTCAGCAGCGTCCTCCTCCTCATCGTCACTCGGCGTCGACCGGCTGCTGCTCAAGCTCGCGCTCACGCTGACGCTCCTCGGCACGCTCCACCCGCCGCTCCCATTGTGACGATGGGAATGCGCATGCGACGAATGCGGCACCTCCACAACCCCCGCACGCACCTCCGCTCCGCGCGGAACCTCGTAGTCGTGCAGTCTCGGCCCGCCCCCGCTGCGGAGCCCGTATTCGCTGCCGCCTACAGATGACGCTCCGTACGACGCGGGATAGTCCCCGCCGACAGACGACGGGCCGTACTCGCTCGTGCCGCCGGCGGAGGAGGGCGGATAGTCGCCGCCCATGGACCCGAACGACGCTGGCACGCCCGCGCCCTCTTCGCCTTCGAGCGCGCCCCCGCTGACCCAGCGCGGCCACATGCCGCGGTCTTCCGGGAGGGAGGTGCCGGTCTCGCTGTCGGGGGAGAGGTGCGAGAGAATGGCGGCGGCTTCGAGGAGCTGGACCTGGGGAAGGGGGAAAGTGGTCAGTATATGGTGTGGATGAGCAAGAGAGAGGATGAAAAGAGGGAGTAAGAGAAGATATCGCTCCCAAAACTGCCTCGAGGTGCCGTTCCCCTCAACAGTAGCACGCGTCTTCGACTTTCTCCCCAGGGTGCATCTCTCGCGCCGCCCCTCTTGTACAACACCATTCTCGACTCTCAACTCACCTGCGCATGCTTACTCAACACCCCCGCGGCGCTCCCGCCAGGGCCAGGATGCGGCAGCGCCGACAGCGTGCGCCAGTGCGGCGTGTGCTCCCAGCGGTGCTTGATCAGGCAGGAGGGGTGGCGGTAGATCTGCGGAGGGGGTGCGTCAGCACGGAACGAAGGTAGTGAATGAATTAGGGTTAGCATTGGGTGGAGGGGAGGGGAGGCGTTAGAAGAGGTTCGCATCAGGGAAGGAGGTAGGGAATGGAGGGAAGAATGGAGAGGAGGGGAGTGGTGCGAACGAGCGAGGGAGGGAGGGGGAGGAGGAAAGAAGGACAGCGAAGAATGGACGGCCACAAGAAAAAATCGGAAAAAAAAACGAGAAAGAGAAGTAATGAAACACATCAAAGAAAACCAAGACGAAGAACAAAACCGTGGACGAAGGAAAACACCCCGCGTGGGCTTGACACGCCACGGCCAAATAAAAAAATAGAATAAAAGGAGAAAGAGAGAGAAAATGAGGACAGACACGCAAGCCAAGAAACCAAATAAAACGAGAAAAGAAAACAACGCCCTTGTGCTCTCGCAGCCCGGGTAAGGCCAAGCGGCTGCACAAGCACGACTGCGGCGACAACCTCTCGAGCGCACTCCGCCCGCATCCGGCATGTCGTCCCCTCCCCGCCGCCGCCGCGGCAAAAACGGCGCCGGTAGGGGAGGAGGAGGAAACGAAGAACGAAATCAAAAACGAATAAAATAAAAGCAAAACCCAGGGGCAGCCGAAAGGAGAAAAACCAAGCGTCGGGCGCCACACGACTAGCACCAGGCGTGCAGTTATGTCGGGGCCGCCTTTCCAGCGAAACGACGACGAGCAAAAAACGACCGAAAAAATGTAAGAAAAAACGACAGCCGCCGCCTCGCCTTGACAAACTGGGCAGCACGCCTGTAACAAATGCACAATCCCCGCCGTGGCCGCGCAAAGCTGTAGCGCCCCGACGGCAATTACACATCCCGCATGAGTAAGCCCGCTGACTCACCCCTTCGGAAATATTGTGCAGCATAATTCAAAGAAAAATGAGAGACAGGGGCTGTGGGGCGTGGCAACGTCGCAGAGGTACGGAGAGAGGAGAAACGGAAGGAAGGAATGGGATGAGGAAGGGAACGGAAAAGGAAGGCACGAATAAGACAAAATGGAGAAAGTGATTGGCATGCCAAATCGGACAGCCGGCCAAATGATGACGGGAGAAAAAAAATAGAAGTGTAAGTGGGGCGGTGAGAGTCCAGCGAGGGAGGGTGTAGAGAGAAGGAGGGAAGGCGGAGGGGCAAAGAAGGAAGGAAGGAGAGGAAAGGAAAGCAACGAACCTTGGAGCACGCCTCGCACTTGTGGTCCACGCCGCGTTTCTTGCGGGCGCCAGCGCCGACGCTGGCGGGCTGGGCGATTGGAATTGGGGTGCTAATGGTCTTCGCGGGTGCACTGGCCGGCATGGCGTGCACCATGGAAACGGCGGAAGGCGGGGGTGACGCGGAGGTGGAAATGGAGAGGGCAGCCATGGAGAGGCCTGGGCTGCCTACAGATCTAGATACCGCCAGGGTCAGCCTACAAAGTATGAAACAGTGAATACAAGGAGACGTACAGCGGCCTGGTTGCCGCATCCCTAGCGTCGCTGAGCCGCCTGCGCCTGCCAGTGGACGACAGCCTGCGGTGGTGTGCCGCTGCCGGGTGCTTATTCGCAGAAGCATTGGCGGCACTGGGACTGCTACTCGTCTCCAGCGGGATGGGCTGGACTTGGGAGGCGACGATGGACAGTGACAGCAGGCTCAGCGCCGGGTCCTACCCACGTATTATGAAAGTCAATTCTGACTAGCTCGGATAGGACGCACTTGAGACATGGTGGGTTACAGATACAGATACAACAGAGGCTTAGCAGGGACGAGGAGGAGACACTCAGAGTCAAAGGCAAGTGGACATCACAGCACAAGAAGAGAGACGGATTCCACCGATCAATTTCCGCCAAATTTTGTTGATTGTCAGCAGTTTGTCTAATCAAGCCAAATACAGCACTCATACCAGTACCACTGCATACGTGGGCCTAATTATCGGAGAAACTGCTTCCATTTCACGCTCGAACATCTTTCTGTTGTTTTTACCGCCAAATTTCTGGTCCACTCATACAACAACCTTCTTGCCCTTTCAATTGCGGCATCCGAGCGGTATATTATCCTTTGCTGGCGGTGGGAATCTCACCCGAAATTTTTCCACTCCTCTGCGTTACCATTACTCATAATATTCAACCCAGAAATGTAGTAAAATATGACCTGGTGGCACTTGGGGTGCGTCTGCTTCCTATAATTGTGAATCCTGCTGAAATACGATCCTGGTTCGAAGCCAGGCTAGGCCATGGCTCTGCTCTTCCTTTTTCGTTCGAAAAATCAGTGGAATAAGTAAGGGCCAGTACTTAGCGCCTGGTGGATCCCCTGGGGCATTTGTGAAATCTAACACCACGCCAGGCCATGGTCGTGTTCGATCTTGAATCTACTGGCAAATGCTCATCTACTATTTCGCACTCAAGTATAATATATCCTCCTTCTTCACATACTTACCACAGCAGGAGCTAGTGCAATAAGACTCAGTGGCACTTGGTGTGCACCTCTATCCTGTAGAACGTCCTTCACAGTGTACAAAAGGAGCTGGTTCGATTCTAGCCTGGGTCATACCGCGGTCAGACCTTACCTCTTTTCTGTGCCCCTAGTAAATTTTCGAACCACATATATGATACAGCAACCAAATGGTAGTCCACCACGCCAGGCCATGGTCGTGTTGGATTCCACTGCGCTCATCTACTAATTCCGCATAGTGGTGGGAAAGTTCGGTTCAGATTTCGGTTCGAACTCGA